GAAGCTACCGCAATGAGAAGCCCGCCGACCGCAACGAAGAATAGCCCCCACTAGCCGCAACTAGAGAAAGCCCGTGCACAGCAAGCAACAAAGACCCAACGCAGCCAAAAATAAATTTAAACATTTAAAAAAGTACCTTAAGGTTAGAGTACTTAAAATTTACAAAATACTTCACATATATTATTCTATTTGTCCCTCAGATGTGTGCTATGCAGAGATTATTGTTTATACTTATAGATAAGAAAACCGATGCTCGTAGAGATTACCTCATCTTAGTAGGGTTGGAACATAAAGCCAATACTTCAGATTTTGAGCACCTGGTTTGTTTTGTTACATACTGTGGCAGGTAACATAAAATTAGCTGGCAATGTCTTAATCTTTTTGCAAACAATGTATCTATTTATTTCAATACCTAAAGAGTGTTCTGAAAAGCACCTTATATTTAATGCACCTATTTCTAAAACAACTGCATTTAACAGATTATTTGAGTGATGTGGGGCCTCAGAGATCATTTAATTCCTTAATTTTAAATAAAATTTAAAAATCACAGAATTTCAGTGCCTGATTCAATCACTCAGCAAGTTAATGGCAGATAAGAACCAGAACCCAGGCATTGACATTAGATGCATTTTCAATATTAGAAAGTTCCTAGACATGGAATTCATGCTAAGAAGTCAAATTTCATCAGAGTTGTCTTGAGTTAAAAGTTTTATTAAAGTTATAATTACTGCTACAAAAAAGCAAAATAACTGATTAGAATTTATCCTTTGATTAAAATCAACACCAACTATCACACATTCTAAGTGCTTTAGATTTAAAATATTCCACTAATGACTAACAATTTCCTGCTATCTAGCCAACTTTTAATCATGCCAGGTCATTAGTCACTTATTCCAGAACTTCTACTATTCAATATTTACCTCAGATACTATACGGAATTTTTTACAAATGTTTCTGTCAAAAAAAAAGTAAAGCTCAGGAACCTTATCTACCACAGCCATAATATCCTAGAAGTCATTTAATTAGTCGGTAAAATATGAATTTCCTTTACTAAAAACAAGTTCGTATTAATCCCTTTTCACCAATCCATTTTCCCTTACTGGAACTAAAAAACTGCCAATTATCAGACTTGACATGAATGAATATACAAAGAAAAATCGTATTTGTGTTTTTATATCTCAAGACACATGATAGTTTTGGAATCTATTTTTAAATTCCAACTGACACAAAGAAAGGATAATAAAAAGTTAACTGACAAAAACACATTTTACCTTAATTCTTATTACTCATACTTGCAGTACTTTATATGCCAATACTTAAAAAAATCATTCAACAGATGATTATAAGACATAAAGTATATTAGCATAAAATAACATAATTTGAACTAGCAGCAAATAAAAATAATACTGTTATGTTGTTAAAATATTTTAAAAGCCACAATCTTCTAAAATCAAGGGTTGCTGCTCCTAAAATGCATAAGAGTAAAGTTAAATACTAAAAAATGCATTTTAAATGTTTTAATTAAGGAAGTATGTTTGACATCCAACTCAGAGAAACAAAGAATAGAATGGTGGTTGCCACGGGGTTGACGGATGGGGGGAAAAGGGGAGATGCTGGTCAAAGGGTACAAACTTCTAGTTTAAGAGTTACAAGTTCTAGGGATGTAATGTACAGCATGGTGGCTATAGTTAACAATTCTGAGGTGTATACTTGGAAGCTGCTATGAGAATAGAACTTTAATGTTCTCTCCATAGCAACAAAATGGTAATTATGTGAGGTAAAGGATGTGTTAACTAACTTTATTGTGGTAAACATTTTGCAATATATACATTCATCATCACATTGTACACCCATTGTTCATCTTAAACTTATACAATGTTTTATATGTCAATTAGACCTCAATAAAGCTGGGGGAGGGGGAGGAAGTATGTTTGAGACATACTCATTCTCAAATTCTATTTCCCAGTTTGATTAGAAATACTGTTTCCTAGTGTTGTTGCACAGATGTTTTATATATTTTAACTATAATTATGAAATTTCATTTGATGTTCATAGGTGATAATTAACTTAAAAGTCATGCTGTCCAATTATATCACAGGCCAATTATGGTTGCTTGAAATTACCTTCTTGCAGCCAAGCACTAGCCAAAAGGCTGATGACCAGGATTTATAACTACACACTTCCAAGAAGAATCAGAAAATTCCCTCTACAAAAATAAGACTGTGTCAAAGATGCTCAAATACTTTCAGATTATTATTAAACAAGGCCGTGATCAATCTGATCCTGTTCTGACTTTACAGGCCTCCTTCCTACAGGAACAGATACTCTATTCTGTTTCCATACTGAGCCAGGTCCTCTTATTAACATCTGGAAATCTTATCATTTGAGGTCTATTACAAAGGAAACACTTTCCATGAAAAAACTTCCCTGTTGACACAGAATTCCTCTCTTCTGAATTGTATGCTGCCTTATTTATATTATAAAAATAACACTTATTATGGACTAGTATTAATGTCATACACATCTCTTACATCCCTTACAACATCATAAACCTCAGAAAGGCAGAGATCAGATCTTATAAACCGTTACAGTCTCTCTTTTAGTTTTCCCACATAAATATTTATCTTACAAATTAAAATAGCAAATTAATAATATGACATTTACTCTCCTTCCTAGAATCTGTGCATCCTTAATGCATCCCTGACAAGGTCACTAAAAATTTTCACCAGCTCACAAAACATCGTCTGTTTTTGAAAGGTTGTTTCAAAAAGAATAAAACACACATTATGACTATAATTATTATGCCATCCAAGCATTTTCAGAGGAAAGTCCGGTTAGGATTAGTTTAGCATCCTCCTAGCAAAGCCACCATTTATACTGTTAGTGTTAAATCTATAATGGTAATCACAAGCACAAATATACTGAAGTCCCTTTATTTAGTTCCATGGAAATAACCCTAGGAGAGCCATGACATGTACTAAGGAAAAACACTGCCACTAATAAAAAGAAATAAGCCTATCTACCTCACTTATTCTGTTAATGCCTTATTTGGGAATCATACTCAGGCATTTTGCCAAAATGGAAAAGTGATATGCTTCTCCTATATCGTTTTCAATGTAAAGGGAAAGGTAAGATGACAGACAAACATAGGAAGAAAAAGAGCAATTCTACTATTTTACGCCCTTTTATGACAGTACTCTGAAATACATTCTCAAGAAATAGCATATTAAAATCCTACATGCTATTTTAGTGAAAAGACAGAGTAGCTTTGCCCATTAGTTTCCCTGATCACAACGCAACCGGAACTTAAATTTGACTCAGACACCCAATGAGATGTCTAAAGCAGCCTCTTTTTCATGCATTCTTGAGAAACACACAAAATGAAAAATGCTTTCCCTGCTAAAACAAATAGTACACCCAACCGTTATCAATTTCATAAAAACCTGTCATCCAACAATTCAACTTCTAGTAATTTAGTATGAGAAAATAATCATATAAAGAAGTTCTGCATAGCCTCATTCATCATAGTAAAAAAACAGGGAACAGTTTAAATGCTAACCAATGGGGAATCATTTATATAAAACAAAGTGTATATTTACTATTCAACAATGAAAAATGTTGACACAGATGTATACTCACTGACATGGAAAGATGTTCACAGCATGCTGTTGCAAGAAAATAGGTTATAAAACCATATACACATCTGTGTGTGCTCATACGCAGTACCCCTAGATGGCAGGGTTTGAAGCATGTGCTTGTAATCAATTTATTGTCTTTCAGCTCCAAATTCATACTTTATTGCCTGCTCTGCAAAAAGGAAGCTGGGCCCTTTACGTATTTTTCCTTTGCTGACATGTGTTAAAACTTTATCAGTACAGCGTGCTGGTGAGTAGCTTCCCTCAATACCCCAACCCCACTGGTGGTTTTTTAGCAGAATACCTTCACTGAGACACCTCCCTGTGAACAGCTTTTGCCCAGCACAATAGACAGGAGGTTTTGAACAAGCTTCTATGGGATGGCAGCACAGCAACTTCTCCATCATCCATTAAACCATGGCCACACCCTCTCTAACATGATTTGGATCAGCCCTGAGAGGGGCCTTTTCCTGAACATTCTCAGACCTACGGGATGGGGCTGCTCCTTATGTCTGCCATTCTTTTATATTCATTAGAATTCTCTTTACTCCTTACTAGCCAACCCCTTGCCACTCCAATCCCTGGTTACAGTTAATAATTTTTAATAAAGAATATTTAATTCTTTAGTTTTTGCTCAAATTACTGTGTGGTTTCCCCAGAACTGACCCTGACTGATGTGAGTTTTTTTTTTCCCTTCTTACTTTTCAATGTTGTCTGAATTTATAATAAGCATTTTAAAATTTTTTTTTGCGGTACGCGGGCCTCTCACTGTTGTGGCCTCTCCCGTTGCGGAGCACAGGCTCCGCACGCGCAGGCTCAGCGGCCATGGCTCAGGGGCCTAGCCGCTCCGCAGCATGTGGGATCTTCCCGGACCGGGGCACGAACCCGTGTCCCCTGCATTGGCAGGTGGACTCTCAACCACTGCGCCACCAGGGAAGCCCTCTAAGCATTTTTTGTGTGTGAAAATCAGAAAAGGCAAGTTTATTTTGGAAAAATTAAAGAAAAATTCACTACTAAATAAACATTAAGTAAAGTTTTTCTACTTTAATAGATCAGAAATATATTCGTAAGATTAAAATGACTGAAATCTGAAGAACATTCATTTGTGTAAGACTATAAATGTTCAGTTTTTCTTTTCTTAATACCAATTTCTTTTCAACATTATCCAAAATTGTGTTTCTAGGTCATTTAGAAAAACAGAAATGATTTAGACTGCTATTTTTTTCTCTCTTAGTTATGCCATATATTAGCCTTTACAAACAGGTTATTAATCACTAGATATCCTGGAATGAGAGCTCCTGTGATAGGTCCTAGTTCCTCAAACACAGTCAGCCTCTTTCATCTTACTATTTCAGCCCCTCTTACCATGTTCAAGGATTATCAGTTGGGCTCCAGCTTGTGCATTTCCAACATCATTTTCAGCAATGCACTGATAGAACCCTTCATCTGATTTCACCAGACCCAAAACTTGAAGATTATGTTCCTTCTGAGGAAGAAAAACATAAATAAAATTTTATGATTTAACTGATAAACATCAGTTCAAAATCTCAAGGATATGCTCTTTCTGGAGAGGAAAAACAAGTAAAATTGTATGATTCAGTTACTGAATATTATCTACCTATGAACTTGTTAACTCAATTTTATTGACAAGATACTGACTCAAGTGACTAGAAAAGGAAACACTGTCATTAACAATTACGAACTCAATCCTTATAGAAAGTCTTATCTGCAATGTATGCAAACTTACACCTTTGCTTGGAAAAATATCTGGCATGCAATACCATGTGACCATAGTGAGAGTCTGAATTTGTGAATTCAAGGCATTTTCTTAAGATTATCTCTAATATCAATAGTTCTAACAGATAAGTTAAATGAGGCCACATATATGAAAGCTTTTCTTAAACTATAAAGTACTAAATGAATGTCAACTATAGTTATTGTTATTGATATTTTAAAAAATAGTATGAAAATAATGATAAAAGAGGAAAAATGCTAATTTAACCATAACACGCTGCTTTTTAATTAGGGTTAAATACTTGTGAATTACTTTTTGTAACATATGAGATTACGTACTTTAAAAATAGAAAATGTATTCCTATGAAGAATGAATTAGTTATATGAGAAATTTGTAATGAGACATTAAGTCTTGAACAACCATAATTACTTCTGATTATGTCTATGAATGTCAGGTATGCATCCTAAGATATGTCATTAATCTTTATTACTAAAACCTAGATAATTCTGTTAACAGGATGTTAGATAATGATAATAATGACAGTGGATAATATTTACTAAGCATTTCCTATATACATATAAAGTAAAAAGAAATAATGACTGAGTCTTCTTAAGTAGACTTAAGGCTACTTATTTACTTTTGCTTTACTTTTCAAAAGAATCTTTATGTTTATTTTCACAACAACTGTCCAACACTGGGCCACCCTTATTTTGAAGGGTCTGGGCATCAGTATAAGAAAGACAGACTTCTGCTCCTTGAATAGAGAGCTATGAAGACAATTGGTACATGTGAATATACACACAGGATAATCATTACCCAGAAAGTGGTGGCGGCTGTGTTAAAGAGTGCTAGTACGTCCGAGGAGGACTACACTGTTGGTCAGGAGATGTGGACTTCAGGCTGAGTTCGAACACTGACTTGCTCTGTGATCTTACATGAGCTACCAAAATATTTCTGGGCTCAGCTTTCTCATCAGTCAATGAAGAGATTATATTCTAAGCGAATTTTTCTATCTTCATCTTATATACACCATTTCATGTACTACAGATAACAGATCTCTTGGTGATTACATTTAAAGATATTTAAAGGTTTCAGAGATAAGTTTCTTTGAAAAATACTTACTACAATCTTAAAGTAATCACTTGGGATAACCATATCCCCATTCTTGACCCACTTCACAGTTGGAGTTGGCTTCCCAGTCACTTCACATTCAAATACAATATCCATAGATTCATGAGCATATATATTAGTAGGCTGCTTCAGGAATTCAGGTTGAGCTTTAAAACAGAAAGAAAATTAAGGTATTAATAAAAATAAAAATAGGTAGCTATTTATATCTCAAGCAATTTTTAAAAATCATAGAATTAATAGGATTTTTAATTATTTGAGGCTTTCATATGTTTTCATAAAAACATAACAAATACATATTTAAAATATATGTTAGGGACATGATATCTTTAAAAATTGATATTCTGGCATAATTGACTGGCAGAATAATTATAACAATAATTTCTGAGTTTCTCTGTTGAGAAATATTTACTAAGTTGACTGTTTTGAAGAAAATGAAAATAGGAAAGTTCTAAGCTGTCCAAAAATTGAATATTGAAGTCTATTTCCCTAAGATTTAAACCATTTTAGAAAAGCCATGAGTACAATTCAAAAAGAGCTGAGAAGACTGACATTATCTTCCTTTTCAGTCAGCTTGATGAGTAACAGAAGAACCCAAAAAGTAATACAAATGTCACATTAGAGGCCTTAAATAGTTTACTCACAGAAACACACACACACTTCCATTAGTAACACCCTTCATTACATGCAATGGTTTTTAAGGGTGGGAGGTAGAGTGACAGAATCTTTGGGAAAAAGTTAAATGTATTTGAAAAAGCTTGATTATCCCATTGTCTCCCTTTCCCCTTAACCCAAAGTTGTAAATCACTGACTCAAATAGATTCAGTAAGACTTTGAATTTAAAGGGTAAAAGTAGATCATCTAGTCCAACTTCCTACCTAATGCCATAATTTCCTATTCCTGCTACATCCATGACAAGTGGTCTTACAAATCCGTTTGAAGTTCCAAATGACAAGGAACTCCCTATATCACAAAGAAGACAACAACAGCAGTTTTTTTTTTTTTAAACAGTTGAGTTAAAATGTGCTCAGCCTGCTGGAATTTTGATTGGGACTGGACTGAATCTGCAGTTTGACACCTTAACAATACGGAGTCTTCCTTTCCATGCACATGGTTTATCTCTCCATTTATTTACATGTTTGGTTTCTCTCATCACTGTTTTATATATTTCAATATACAAATTTTGTTCATACTTTATTAGCTGTATCCCTAAGTATTTTAAATTTCTTGGTGCTACTGTAAGTGGTACTTTTTTTTTTTTAGTTTCTAATTGTTCACTGCTAGTATCTAGAGATGAAACTGATTTATGCATATTGACCTTTTATCCTGTGGTCATGTTAAACTCATTCATTAGTTCTAGCAGCTTTTTATAGACAATTCTGGGATTATCTACGTAGACAACCATGTTGCCTGTGAATAGAGAGAGTTTTATTTCTTCCTTTCCAATCTTCTTTCTTTTTTCATTTTTTTAATCTATTGCACTGGCTAGAGGGGACAGGTCCTGGGAAGAAGTCCAGACTAGCTTTATAATTTGGGTAAATGAAGAGTAAGAGTATAGAGAGCAGGTAGAACCCCAGGTAAGCAGTAGAAGCCAAAGATGGTAAGAATGTAACACAGTGATGCAAGATCAAGAAAACATAAGTGTACAACTAGATGAAGTAAGGGAAATCTATTAGCAGTGAATTTAACTCTCTTTTCAAACATTGGTTAGTCATCTGTATTCTTTGGTGAATTATCTGTACACATACTCTGCTATTTTTTCAATTAGAGTGTTCACAATTTTCTTATCTATATGTAAGAGCTTTTCACATAATGCCAGTTATTAATTTATGGCCTCTCAGCTCCAAATCCACTCTTCTTTGTAATGATGGATGTGGACCTTTGCCAGCTGATGCAATGTTAGACTTTGTGAACAGAGGACACTGGAGGGACATTGTAAGGCATGGCAGAAGAAAAGGTTTATCTTTCAGGTTGGGGTGTGCTGTTCTTCTCGGCCCTACAGTGTGGCAGCTAGAAGGCATGTGGGAGAACCATTGGTGATCACCCTCCTGCAAGTTTCTCTGCTCAGTCTCTAGTAAGTTTCTCCAGTTTACTCTAGCAGGTAGCTTTCTGTGCAGGAGCTCTGACTGTTAGCATTCCATTAAACAGCATCCAATATATCAGCTCTGACTCAAGGCACCCCGCTGGGGAACTTCCTGCTCATCATCAGTCAGGCCCACGGCATCCCAGCAGGCGGCTTTCCACACACCAGCTCAGGCCTGTGGCATCCAACAGGCGATCTCCTGTGGACCAGTTTGGCCCATGGGCTGTGTTCTCTGGCAGTGACTACACTCTCTCCAAGGTCTGAATTGCAACCTTGAGTAAGGGTGCCCTCTTCCAAGTTTGTTCCTTTTTTTGGATTCTCTCCCTCGGCTCTTGAGGTAGTAGCTAATTCTTATATTTACTCTTTCTTTATTCTTTAGAATCCTACTTTATCCTATTTAGTAGTTAAAACACCTTTTATTAGTTAATAATTATTTATGTTTAATTCTCCTTGTTCAAATTCCTGGTGCAATTTCTGGCTCCTGACTGGACCCTGACTAATACAGTAAGATATTAATCCTTTCTCTTACATGCCAATATTTCTTCTCAGCTGTTTCTTTTGTCTTTTTAAATTTAGGATGCCTATTGTATCAAAGTTTTAAATCTGTATGTGGTAAAATTTTTTAGTCCTCTCTTTTTTTGGCATCTGTATTTTATTATTCTTACTCCAAAGGGTTTTCCTTGCTTCCATACTATAAAAATATTCACTTACTTTTTCTTCTAGTATGTCTATGAAACAATCTTGACTTCACTGAGTTAAGCATCCAGCTTTATATTTTTCTAAACAGCAACTCCAGTAGTCCCAATCAAAGTAACCGATTTGAAATAGTTTTAATATCTAAATCCTATATACTCTTAGGGGTTTATTTTGCATATTAAGTGGTTTCATTGACCTGTTTATTCCTGGGCCAGAACCACAAACTTAATGATTGTTACTATATAGTATTTTAAAATACTTGGCAGAACAAGTACTCTCCTAATTTATTCCTTTATTTCCTCAAAAATTTCCTAACATGTTCATTAAGATGTTTTTTCCCAGATGCATTTAATCTTTGCTTATGTTTCTCTGTTCCTTCTCAAAGAAAACAAACAAGTTGAAGATTTCTTTTTGTCCTTGAGAATATTCTACTAGGTATATATAGTTTAATTACTATTTTAAATTTATTTGGAACAGTAACTTTCACTTGGAATTTTAACTTTCTGTGTGGCTATACTACCAACTAGTTACACATACAGAGTCATTTGTTTCATTTTACTTCCCCTTTTCAGCCATTTAAAATCTGCAAAAAAGGGTATATTCCAACGAGTCTTGCTTCTAACCCTGTTTTCTCTACCCTTTTCCCTCCCTTCTCCTATAGGTAACCATTAATTTTTTTTGAATGATTTACCTTTCATTTAAAAAATTATAAGCAAACAAACACAATTTGTACCCACCCCTCATCTTCAGATTAGTTATGTACTAAACAATTTTTTCTACCTTCAAAGCCTTCAATCTTAACCACTATGGTACCATGTTTCTGAGGAACTGACATATCCCTTAAGTCTAAGGGACTGAGGCGCCCCCTGAAGCAGAGTATGTAATTCTGGAAAACAGCAAAATTCTCTTCTAAAGAAAATCCAATTGATATAATTTTAGTATGCATTTTCAGTAAACAGACTTCCAAAGACTATCAGAAAAAAATCATCACAAACAATGTTCAATTCATCATTTACTTTTCCCTTTCATGAATTATAAAATAATGCCTTTAAAATGTTCTCCAGATTTTAACCTCTCTGCAGATAGTATTCACACCAATTAAACATAATGTAAGAGCAGATGTTTGTGGTTGGGAAGTTAAATTGATAACCAGAGAGCAAATGAGTCAATTACCATAAGAAAATAAGCATCGTAATGGAAGATTATGCATTTTGTTACCAAAGAGATAATTAAGCTTCAAATTCTCTTTGACAGCTCCCTATCCCTTCTAATGCCATCATCATTACAGGAACAATTTTAATTGCTAAATGCACAAGTAGAACTTAATACTAGAACATATTACACTTGCAAAATTCCCTTACTGGAAACATCACTTAATTCCATAACTATTATATAATGATGGAAACTGCCACTCAATTCAAACAGAAAACAATGCAGGGCCAACACCAAAGTTTCAAGGTTACTTTATTATGCTGTTATTTAGAAGATTATAACCAGTTTTGTTTACATTAGCTCTGAAATGTTGGAGTTCCTATTGTTTGATTTTAAAGGTTTAGACACTGAAATTCTTAAAAAGCACTTGAAGCAGAGAAATAAAGCAACTTTGTCCATTTTATGTTAAACTGCACACTGCACACTTGCTGTTCCTAAGCTTCTTTTCAATAATTCACAAAATTACATGTAAGTCCTTAAAAAAATCCCAACAAATAAAACCCAAGCATTTTAAAGTCTGAAATCCCCTCAGGGATGTTGTCTGACAGTCTAATCACAAGTCTGCTGTAAGTACTGGCTCAACTAACAAAAATACATTAGAACCCTCCAATACTTCTTGAGAAAGCTTCTTGTTCCAAAGAAGATGAATGTTGTCCTTAATCTCCAGGTGAAACAGGTGAAATCAATTATGAAGCAACATTATGACAAAATTGCCACACGACCTTGAAATTACATTTCTATCCTATCCCTGTACCTCCACATCCAGTTGCACTGCATTTCCTTACCCCTACCCTCTCAACTTAGCTAACAGGTACTCATCCTTCAGATCTCTAAAAACAATCCCTTAAAGAAGCTTTTCCTGATCCATAGCCGCCCCCCCTTTTCCTCCCCAGTCCTAGGCCATCACTGCCCTATTTACCATTGAAACCCCAGTGGCCTAAACCATAATAGGTGTTCAATGCATATTTGTTAAAATCAATGGTTACTTGAATTCTAAAAATTCCATTAATCGGCACTATCAGAAAATTAGATGTTGAGAATAAGAATTTTTTCAAGGGGCTTCCCTGGTGGGGCAGTGGTTGACAATCTGCCTGCTAATGCAGGGGACACGGGTTCGAGCCCTGGTCTGGGAAGATCCCACATGCCGTGGAGCAACTG